GCACCTAAAGTTTGCTCTCCCTACCGCCCTCTCCGAATACATACTAGAGCGCCGGTCCGCTAGACCTCCTAGGGCTAGGCGACAACCTCACCCATGTCTTACGGTACCAGGAATCACTGCCTAAACAGTGACTCGCCATGCACCGTCATATTCCTGACCGTGTAGTTTCGTATTCATTGCACAACCATATGTTTTATCACCACCCGCGGAATTTTCACGTTCTCTCTCTCTCTCTCTTTCTCTCTCTCTCTCTCGCTCTCTTTTTCATTCTCTCTCCACTCTACCGTATCGCTGCGCACTATGGCTAAAGATTAGCGCAGAAAAACGTTCGGCTGGAACGAATAAGCTTGCAAGGTGGAAGGGATAGCGTTCAAAGGTTCGATTTTTGCCCCCCGTTCGTCCCCTTGCGTTCCAGGAATAGTGCAGTATTAGGGCACGGCTTCCTGCCAGCTCATAGCAAAGGAGCTCTTATTAATCTTAGTTTTTGTATCGTAATCTCAGCTTTTATGGAAAATCTAAAATTTGCCTGATACCATATGTATTCTTCTCTCTCTCTCTCTCTCTCTCTCTCTCTCTCTCTCTCTCTCGCTCGCTCTCTCTCTTTCTCTGTCACTCACTCACTCACTGTCATTGATGATATCCTTCTTATTCTGCCATTCAGCTCGCTCTGTCTCTCCCACTCTATCTCTCGCTCACTCTCTCAGGCTCTCCCTACCTCTTTCTCTGGCATTGTGTTCTCCTTTTCTCGCTCTGTCAAACACTAGCCTCCTTTTAGAGCCTACGGTAGGAATAAAAACCTTAGTCCCGTCCTCGAACTCTCCTGCTCAATCTTCCATGACCTACCCGTCACCAACCATTCCATTTGAATACTGATTCCACTCTCTTCCACTCCACACAAAACACAATGGAACCCCTTTAAAGATGCGCTCAAAAGTGCAATGTTTTCGGGGTTGCAAAGCGAAAGGCGCCGCCGTCGAAACCGGAACCCCAGGCCCACCCTGGGAGTTCGATGAAAGAAAGGAACCTCTTATGCCATGTCCTCACCTTCCCCGAAAAACCATCTCAGCTAGCCAGCTCCTAGCTAGGCTAGTGCTTGCACTTTAGGGGAGAGTGAGAGAGTTGGAGGGAGAGAGCGAGAGAGCCAGAGAGAGAGGACAGGGTGGGGTTTGAGTTTTTCACGTAACTTGGCTCAATTAGTCAAGCTGACGGGATGAAAAACAAGATTCCAGTGGTTTTTCGATTTCGAATCGAGCAGTCCCTTTTCCTATATACTATCTGGTAGCTTTTCGTTACGTAATACTTACCGGCTGTCTTGCTGAAGGTCCCTCTATCTCTCGCTCTCTTGACCTCTCTCTCGCTCCCTCTTGATCTCTTTATATCCCTCACACATTCGGTCTCTCTCTCGATCTGTCACCATCCCTTTAAAACCTCCTAACGTCCACCGAATTTGTGCTCTGCTCCCTCCAGACCTACCGCCTCGTCGCCTCTCCTATTCTCAGCGCAACCCTGAAGGATTTCGCTTCGCCGCTGTCAGCCCGAGTTTTTTTTTTGCTGCTGGGATCGCCCACGGGGTGTTCAGTCCCAGGGAGGGGCTTTTTCCTGCTTCTTCATCCCGTCCCCCAGCTCTTTTTCTGCGTGGAGCACTCGGAGAGCCGCCGCGCGGGGACGCCGCACTTTTCCTCCTTGCACTTTTCTGCTCGTCGGCGCTGTAGCGCGGATGGAGGCGCCGCGCGAGCGCGCGTTCCACCGCCGCGCTAGGCTCTCTCTCACTCTCTCTCCTTTTCATCATGCCCTCCGGCTATAACCAGACAGTTCTTCTATGCCCTTTTTCGGGGATGGCGTCCCCCAGGGCTGGGGAATTCGCGTATTCTCACGGAATTTCAACATCTTCTGGTTTCTTAACCTTGCTGCGTGTTTTTAACGCTTTCATCTTGCTTGCAAGATAGCTCTCTCTCTCTCTCTCTCTCTCTCTCTCTCTCTCTCTCTTCTCTTCTCTTCTCTTGCGTTACTGTAGCGCGATGTTAAATATTCAATTTCCAAACGGTTTTTTAGATAAAATCTGCTTTCCCCATGCCAAACCTTGTTTTTCTGTACGAGTAGCGCGGACGGAGATCTCACATGTTCACTTTTTCATGGCTAGCTATTTCTGTCTCTCTCTCTCTCTCTTCTCTACTCGTAACCTTGAAGGCGCATACCGTATCCCACCGGTTTAGCGGGGTCATCCCAGCCATAACTCACGCGTTTTTTCATTCGTGGAAATTTTGAGTCTTGGTTGATTAAAACTTGACCAGAAGTCGAAGCCTAAGCCTAAGCGAACCGAAACCTAAGCTTACGCCTAAGTCCAAGCCAAAGACTAAGCCTAAACCTAAGCCTAAGCTTAGCCTTAGCCCAAGCTCATAATTCGAAATATGATTTTCAATTTTTTCCAGGGCTACCTATAGCGTTTTCAATTTTTTATTTTCAGCTCACCCATCCGGCCGTCACGGCCGGACCATCGAGAAGAACAAGAAGAAGCCTATTTTTTCAGGCGAGTTTCGTAAACCCGAAACGGAATTCAAAACAGCAGCAGAAGAAGAGGCCGACGAGCTCAGTGAGGACGACGCAGCAGAAGAACCTGATCAATTTTTTGAAGACGATCAGCACTACCTCTCGCGTTATAGCCGCTTTTTCAAGCGCCCACCCCCGGTCCCGTCCAGTTTCCAATATCCAACCCTAGAGGAGGACGATTCGGAGGAATTAGGATTTTCAAATCAGGAAGAAGAGGAAGAGGACTTCTACACCTCGGATTTTTGGGATTTTACAAAACCAGAAAATTCTGAAGGCCAACGTGAAGAATTGGAATTTGATTACAAATACGTCGAGCAGCAACTAGAAAATATTTTATTTAAGCGATTACCCCAAGAACAGCTCGAAGCCGATTCGAACTTGCTTTTGAGAAGCTTTGGAAGACTAAAACACGCCTTCGCCCCTGCACTTTGGCCGCCGTGGAAGCCGCGCCCCTGCCAGCCCATACCCAACCCGGATTTGCTAGAGGGAGCCGAGCCTGAGCTTGAGGAGATTGAGGCGAGGGGGGAAGTGCCCGAGGTAGGGAAGAGAGAGAAAGAGAGAGAGAGAGAGAGAGAGAGAGAGAGAGAGAGAGAAAGAGAGGGAAAAGTAGAGAGTAAGGCAAATGCAGTCTTGAAATTTCATTTTGTCGAAACGCATTCATTTAAACACTGCTAAAATTTTAATCTAGCGCATTAAAATTCGAAAAATGAGTTTCGGCATTTTTTCGACAAAACCGAACGAACCTCTTATCTGAGCGCCGAAATTTATCATACCGAAATTTTTGGGATTTCGACCTTATCAAATTTGAAATTTGGAAAAATTTCGAATTTTCATGTTTTTAAAACAGAAAGACATTTTTTCATTCCAGGACTACGACGACGGGCCGACAATCGAAGATTGGAGCTATCAACGTCAAGCCGTGGAGCTACGATTCGCAGAATTATCACTTCTTCCCCAGAACCCTCACGTCAATTTTCCACTCCCACTGCTAGAAAGCCCGGAATACGAGTTCATCGAAGTCTTCGATAGTTTCGGGAAACGGAAGCGAGAACCTGAACCGGAAAATCGATTGGGATTCGCTAGGAAGCTTCCGAAACTCATCGGTGTCGAAAGCCCAGATCGGTCCCAAAGAGAACCGCTGTTCATCTACACCGATCGGGCGGAATCGCCGGAACCGCAGAAGTCCCTTGCCGAACTCTTTGGCTTCTTTATTCCCAGGAAGAAGGCCAGGCGCCTGAAGCTGTTCAAGCGGAAGCCGCTAGCTGTTGACCCTGACGCACCACCTTTGAAGAGGGATCGACAAGTTGTAGAAGGTGAAGAGGAGGAAGAAGACGAAGAAGACGATTTCCCGAATTTCGACGAGGAAGAGCTTGAGCTTGAGCTTGAATCTGAGCGAGCAACGTGTGAAAACCCTGAACTTGTTGGTGAGGTTGCTGTACAAAGCATAGGATTTTCAAAAGTTGTTGGGCATACAACGGAGTTTGAGCAATTCCAAGCTAAAAAAGTTAGTGAGATATTACGATCGAAATTCGATCAACGTCACGATTTGGCGCAACAAAAGGCTGTAAAAGCAGCTGAACGCCCTGAAGTTGACGACTTCCAAACTCCGAAACTTGCGTTTACATCCGTACTTGACGACGTACGAACTGCAAGTGTAGCTGAACATCCTGAACTCGTCGACTTCCGTATAACAAAACTTGGTTTTCCACCTGAACAAGAAGAAAACGGCGCCACAAAACTCGCTGAAAGACCCGATTTCGACGTTTACGAGGAAATACTAGCGACAGAACTTGTTGCTGACGCTCCAGCCGCTGTAGATCCAGACGAAGAACCGCCTCCAGAACCTCAGGCTCCCTGTCTGAGCCCGGGCCCAGGACCCAAGCTCGACCCCAACGAACCGTTTGAGCCGCGCCCGCCGTCGCCCGGCTACAATCCGCTCGGATTCCCGCCCGGTGGGTTCGAGAGCGAGGGAGAGAGAAAGAGAGCGCGTGAGAGAGAGGGAGAGTGAGAGAAAGAGGGGTCATAAATCGGGGAAGAAAACACAAAGAATTCCGTACTTTGCACTCCGCACCGCAAGAAATTATAATGTATAATTCGCTTTGAAACTCGGTAAAGCTAAGAGAGAGTGTGTGTGAGAGAGCGCGCGAACGCGAAAAAGAGAAAGAGAAAAACGAGAGAGAGAGAGGGAGAGAGAGAGAGATAACTTTGAGTCGGGGTACGGTAAGATGATTTTGGGGATGGGTCGATTTGGCGTATTTTTGGGATTTGTCACCAAGCGAAATTTGCTCAAAATTTAGTGGTACGGAAACGGAAAGTAACGTGGCGGTACCCAGACTACCGTAGGCTACTGTCGAGCGTTCTTGGAATTTGATTAATCTTGTTCAGCTTTTTTCTGGGTCCAAAAACCAACCTTGATTTCCTGCCACTCCCCAGTTGCCCTTTGCCGCTACGGTATGCGATCCCGTGACATTGCCATCCGTTCGCCCCGATCATCGCCTAGTTTGCCCGGGAAAAATCGCGCCTCCCACCCCCAGCGCCTCCGCCCGCACTTTCTGACGATTTTCGGTACGGGGAAAACGGTTTTTTTGCCGGCCCGATATACGATTGGCACTTTTTTGGGAGGGGTTGAGTCAGAGGGCAAGTGGAGCGTTGCGTAATGGGAATGGTTAGAGGGCAAATAGGTGGGGATTCGGGGAATAGCTAGGTGGAAAAGCAGTATTAGGGGTCTCGGTCAGCTCGCTCTCTCTCTCTCTCTCTCTCTCTCTCTCTCTCTCTCTCTCCCTCTCTCTCTCTCACTCTTTCTATCGCTCGCTCATCCTCTCTCGCTCTCTCTCGTTCTCTCGCTCTTTCTCTGTCCCTCTCTGTCTCTCGCTCGCTCTCTCTCTGTCTCTCTCACCGCTCATTCTCCCTTGACATCGAGGTTCCATGACATTATATCTTCACGTTGCTTAAATCCTCCGTTTTCAGTCCCCTACCCCGGCTACATCGACCCGCTCGAGCCGTACACCCCGCCGCCACCCCTAAAACCTATCACCTTCACGCGATTCGTCTTCCCGTTTCCGGATCCGGGATATCCAAAATTCCAATTCCCACGAACCCGACGTCGAAGACCTTTCAAATTCTTTCCCGGGATCCCGAAAGCGATACGCGACGAATTACAAGCATTTCAAGAAGCCAAAGCTCAAGAATCAGAAATTCTAACAATCGTAGTAGAGCCGGAATTCGTCGAATCTGATCCGGAGAAGAAGAAGAAGCTACACCGGAAAAGCCGGAAAGTTAAGAAAGTCAAATTTGACGAACCGAAGGTAGAGGTTGAGGACTTTGATCACTACGAACAGCTACTCGCCAAATTTTTCAGCTTCATTGGGCTCAGGGTAAGTTTTTTTGTTAAATTTATGCATAGATTGTTGAGTTTTGACTAATGAGTTAAGTACCTACGCAAAATTCTGGAGATGAAATCAGAAGACGTCATTTACATTCTAAAACTCAGCACGCAGCAAAAATTAAAAATTCAAAAATTAATTTAATTTCAAGATTTTGAAAATGCAAATGCTAATTTAATTTGCGATAAAAGTCTAATGTCTAAGTATTCTCAAGATATTTATACATTTCTAGAGCTCGATTACCCCGGATCAGCCTCAATTTTCGGCGGTGCTTATTTTTCGTTGGGCCCGCGAGCTATTAAGGAGCCTGAGCACAACCTCCGAGGGCCCTTGGATCATCTGGAAAACATCATCCACAAGAAAAACGCCGAAATTTGACCGTTTTGATGACCATTGGCGGCCAAGACAACAAGAAAAGACAGGTGGGTGTATGAGTGTCGTTTGGTGTGAGGCGGACTGGAAAAAGGGGGGCGGGGCTTTTCGGGTTTTTTTTGGCGGCTGTTTTGATTGCTGGACGACGTCTGGCGAGCAAAAAGTGCCGCCGCTTAACATTCAATTTTTTGAGGAGGCTCATGACTAGGCAGGGGTGTACCAAGTACGGTATATTCGGAGAAATTGGATTTTTTGCAGTGGTCTTCTAGCCGGATAGTGATTACTCGAGATTTCGGTTGTAAATTTTCAAAAATTTAGTGACGGGTTTAAGCGGCGGGTCTTGAATCAGAATCCTGAAAAATGACTTTCGCATCTTAATCTGTTTTAAAGTTAATTACTAAAAATTCCGCCTAAAATTACTTTTTAAATTTCGCGTTAACTGTTCTTTCGTTCTCTCCTGCTCGAATTGCACCGTCTCCCTATTTCTCTCTCTCTCTCTCTCTCTCTCTCTCTCTCTCTCTCTCTCTCTCTCTCTCTCTCTCTCTCTCTCTCTCTCTCTCTCTCTCTCTCTCTCTCCCTCTCTCTCTCTCCGCTTTCTTTCTCTCGCTTCTCTCTCTCGCACTCTCTCGCTCTCTCTCTCTCTCACTTTAATTCTAGCCCAATCTGGTGGACGAGCAACACCGTGAAAACCTGAAGCCATTTTGGGGTATTTGTTGCTGATTGTACCCTTTTTTTCTTCTTCTTCCTCACTTCTTTTTTCTCATACCCACTTTGATGCATTTCCGGACTTTCCGCTCCCACCTAATTGCTCATTTCCAGTAGCGCCCGCCGCCGAAGGAGCCCCGGCCACAGCAGTCACCGTAGCCAAGACCTGGCCCGTCCCAACATTTCTACCTTGTCCGAAGGCACCCCAGAATTTGGCTACAATCTTGGAGCTGCCGAAAGCGGAAGGAGAAGGCAGGAAGAAAGCTGAAAACCTACGCGAAAACCCATCTGAAAAATCAGAAGATCATCTCCAGAAAAACGCTGCAAAGTTTCAAAAGGAAAAGTTAGATTTCGGCTTGAAGTTCGCAATTCCGGAAGCGAAGCTCCCGAAAAAGAGAGGAACCAAGAAAGGAGCCAGTAAACTACTCGAAAAACTTGGAGAACAATCTCAAAAATTAATTGCTAAGCTTCAACCCAAGCCCAGCTTCAAACTTCCATTTCCCCACAAGCAGCTACCTGAAAAAGCAGAAAAACGAGCTGAGAAACTAGAAGAACATCTCCAGAAAAACCCTGAAAAGCTACGCTACCTAGAGGACGATTTAGAATCTAAATCTCAACCTCCGGAAGAAGAAGAAATCCCGGTTCTCGAGCTACAAGGGACTGCTAACTACGAGGCCCTAGAATACGCAAATTTCGGCTATACTTACGACGGCGCACTAATGGAGATAGCATTAGAACCAAATTATTATGGAGAGGCCGAGGAGCCGGACCGGGGTGTTGCTCAGTTGCATGCTCCTTTAGCCTCTTCGCCGCAGCAGCCGCCTCCCAAGAAACGGCATCTAACCGACTCGCCGATGGTTGTGAGGAAGGTCTCGGATCTCGAGGTGCGGTTTCGATGGGTTTTAAAGGGATCCGGACACCGAATTTTTTTGCATAAGTCTAGAAAGGCTTGTTAAGTTAAAAGTGATTTAATAGTGTTTACAGTCATGTTTAACGATTTTTTTTAACTATAAAAACTATCTAAAAACTTTCAAAAAAGTTAAAAATTTGGCCAAAAATTGGCCATTTTCGGTTTCGGGTTAATATCCATTTGTGGAGTTTTCACGTTTAGGAATAGTAAAAAATTAATTAGAGACACTTACACTATTTTTATTTGAAAAATTAGATCCTAAGAAAATCGTTAGTTTGATTTTGCAGCACCACTTCCCACCGGACCCATGCCATCGTCCACTGGAACACTACCCGCTGACGCCACCAATTCGCTCGCCCTCCATCTCCAACCCCTCGCTGCCATCATCCCCTACCGTAGCCGCGGGTCGCCTCATCAAAAAGGCAACGCGGAAGTCGAGTTCGAAGTTGAGATTCGAGGAGGCCAAGGTGAGGAAGAGCTTTGTTCACGTGCATTGAAGTGGAGGAAAATTAAAGCAAGTACAGGGATTAGTACACCTAAGCGCGTTTCTGTACGTCTTCAACATGTCGAAAAACCACAAAAAAAAACTAAAGTTTTTGGATTTGGATTTCGATGTGGAACGGATATGTAAGTTAAAACGATTTGTCGAGCCTTCAAAACGACAATGCTTAACTTCAAAAATCAAGACAAGTACGTTGCTTAGTACAAAAAGTGCGGTTTGGTACCATTCAACATGTCGAAGACACTCCAAAAACCAAAACTTCCCGCGATTTTCATTAACGCGTTTTTGCCTTCACCGTCCCCTTAAACCGAGATTCAAATCCCTCTACGCTCGATTCCGCTTTTTTCCCCGACGTCGCCTCTGAACGTCTGGAACTTGCCGGCAAAATTTTCTGGCTCGAGGCCAGGCCCCAGACGTCTTACTGTATCCCTCACGGGCCCCGGGCCCCCGTCTGAGTCAGACCAGATTAGCGGCCCCCACGCCCAGGCACAAATGTACACAGAAGCGGCGTGTACTCGGGTAACCCCCACCGGAAATGGCCCGAAAATTAAGGAAATAATGACGCGCCCGGGAAGCAAAATGTTTTCGAATTTGGGGCGGAAATGATTGGGAACTAGGAGGATAAGCTGAGACATCTTATAAGAGGAAGTGAATTTGAGAAATGGGGAAATGACGAGAAAAATCTAAGCTCCGCTAAGGCTAATTAAACAACGCAAAACTGAATTTGAAAGCCTAAAAAAAGATTGGCAAGAATCTGATGCAAATTAAAAAGAATAGTTTTGAAAAGCAAAAGCTTATGCAGGAAAACCTAGAGAAGATAACGAAACGTGAGAAAACAGACGTCTGGATCAGCGCCAAAAAAAATCCCATTTCCTTCAAATGCACATTTTCAAGCGCTACGAATAACAAGACAAAACCGATGCTTACTTATGTGGTCTGAAATGGTTGTGAAAGTTGTGTAAATGCGAAAAAAAACGAAATAAACAACTAAATTAAATTCGTTCTTTGAAAAACAGTGTTTTTCAGAGTCAAATCGAGGGTGGACTGATGGACATCGGCGACCTGAACTGCTTTGTAAGTTTTTCGGGCTCTTATATGTAGCGTTTGTAAGGTTTATAAAACGTCTAATGAACCCAAATTTTTCCCGAAGCTTACTTTAATGCCGAACTAATAAAATAGGGCCCTGCTGCCAAAGGTTGCGATGTTTCATTAATGCGCAGAAAACCGACCCTTGAAACGGTAACATCTGCATGCCAGCTAGCTGCCGCGAATTTTAAATCGCTTTACGTCCGCAACGTGTTTTTCCATTCCCAATTTTATGTTTTAGGTTATCCCCAGCAGTTTTTTTTGTGAATTATCTATTTAAAATAACGTCAACACATTGTTATCGATTTTTTTTCTATTCTAGAGCTCGCGCCAAGTCCAAGAGCTCATCCGGTTGAAGCGCGAGAACATCAGCGCAATTCTGTTCGACTACGCCAAGGGGCACGAGCTCAGCTTGGAAGAGGGCGAGCGAGGAAAGCCGATTGATGTGAGTTTCTTGTTTCTATTTTTAACGTTCATAGGCTTGTAGAAAAATTAGAAATGCGTGGATAAATCTCTAAATTCTCCGAATTTTGCGTCTTTGCTGATTTAATTTTTCATTTCGTCATATCTTCTCTGCTTTAGAATGAAATCACGTGGGACCTCGTCAGAAGCCTGGTCAAGAAGCTCGATAAAGCCGAGGATCTCGACAATTTTGTGGCCATTTTTAAGGCTAGCGACAAGACTCACACCGGATGTTTCAGGATCAGAAAGTAACATTTTTCAGTTTATGATTCTTTCGCTCTCCCTCTCTCTCACACTCTATATATTCCTTGTTCTCTCTCGCTCTTGCTCTCGCTTAAGTTGAAGCTGATTTCCTAAAAAGTGTTCAACTCACCGCCGAAATTGGTACCATTATATCTCCAATTTCCGTTCCCACCCTCGCCGCCCATTTCCGGCAAAAAGTCAGATGCTTTCGACCATAATTAAAGGAGCCTTTCGACGGGGCTTTGACCGGAAATTAGTGGGCTTTTGGGCGGATCTCTGAGAACTTAAGAAATGCTCGGCCTTGTTTTTGACTTAGATACTTTGGCTCGTTTTCCATAGACCTCGGACGGAGTCTAAGCCTAAGCTAAACCTAAACTAAGCCTAAGCCTAAGCCTAAGCCTATGCCTAAGCCTAAGCCTAAGCTTAAGCCTAAGCCTAAGCCTATGCCTAAACCTAAGCCTAAGTCTATGCCTAAGCCTAAGCCTAAGCCTAAGCCTATGCCTAAGCCTAAGCCTAAACCTAAGCCTAAGTCTATGCCTAAGCCTAAGCCTAAGCCTAAGCCTATGCCTATGCCTAAGCCTAAGCCTAAGCCTAAGCCTAAGCCTAAGCCTATGCCTAAGCCTATGCCTAAACCTAAGCCTAAGTCTATGCCTAAGCCTAAGCCTAAGCCTAAGCCTATGCCTAAGCCTAAGCCTAAACCTAAGCCTAAGTCTATGCCTAAGCCTAAGCCTAAGCCTAAGCCTATGCCTAAGCCTATGCCTAAACCTAAGCCTAAGTCTATGCCTAAGCCTAAGCCTAAGCCTAAGCCTATGCCTAAGCCTAAGCCTATGCCTAAACCTAAGCCTAAGCCTAAGTCTATGCCTAAGCCTGAGCCTAAGCCTAAGCCTAAGCCTAAGCCTAAACCTAAGCCTAAGTCTATGCCTAAGCCTAAGCCTAAGCCTAAGCCTAAGCCTATGCCTAAGCCTAAGCCTATGCCTAAACCTAAGCCTAAGCCTAAGTCTATGCCTAAACCTGAGCCTAAGCCTAAGCCTAAGCCTAAGCCTAAACCTAAGCCTAAGTCTATGCCTAAACCTAAGCCTAAGCCTAAGCCTAAGCCTAAGCTTAAGCCTAAGCCTAAGCCTATGCCTAAGCTTAAGCCTAAACCGAAGCCCAAGCCTGAGCTTTCAAGCAACCCGTGAATTTATGAAGTTTAGAAGGGGTAGGATATTTCTCCCATGGGTCTGGCCACATGGCTAGGTGCACCCCCACCCGGTGGCCCCTATATTTCCCCAGTTGTGGATGTAATTTCTGTGGATGATGCAAGGCATATGGCCACACGAGCACCATTTGCCACCCCCGGGGCACAGACACGAGGATTGTCTAGGGGAGTAGTTTGGGACGATATATGAGTGCACTCACAGTCTCTCTCTCTCTCGCTCTCTCTCTCGCTCTCCCCCAATGGCTAGACTGGGTGCAAATATATTGCCTAGGGCAATGCTGCACCCACAGGCACCTTTGATTTTTTGGATCTCTGTGTTTTGGCACTAGCACCCAGGTGCATGGTTGTGCTCTTGGCCATTTTCTGTAACCTTAGTTGCCGTTTTTGAAAATTGAAAATTGCTATTTAATTCTGACTTTCCAGTTTAATCAACTTATTGAGATTGCATAAAAATTAGTTTCTTAGACTCACTTTGAACGATTCAGGACATTCTTAGATTTTTTTCTTGCGAAGAACTAGAACTGCCTGGCACTGTTCCGCATTTTTTTTTCGTTTTGCCCAAAGCGTGGCGTTTTATAATAATTTTATTTCGTTATTTTCTTATCGTTCTGAAGCTGGAATAATTCATTTCTCCGAATAATTTAGCCGTTGGTTCATTGTTACAGCTACTCGTCCTATAGCAATTATTCCCCGAGTTTGCCTTTTTTTCTATCAATGCCACTTTGTTTTGGATCCCACATTCTACCAATGACCAATCATAACAACGAATCGGACTATTATTCTTTTATTCGTGTCTCATCATCGTTTTCATCGAATATTTTGAGCTCGCCGGTGCACCCCGTATCCGATTTTGTCTAACAATAATGAATCACTTCCATTATCCGTTGCAGGAATTATGAAATATCTAAAGACCCATCAGTTGTCACTCATTCGGTGGGAGCGGGTGCAAACAATGGCACCATTTAGGCCCGGGAATATTGTTTCGGTACACCCTGACCCGCCTTGCGCTATGGGTGTCGTCTGCGAGTAGAAAGAGACCCACGACGAACCATTTTTCTTTTTTTTCTGGCCTAAAAATGGCACCGAGACTCACACCTCTTATCTCGCTTGGCTTTCCTTAATTTCGCTGAAACATCAGCAATGTTGGGGTCACTGTATTTCATAAAATTCCGGAATTTTCACTCACCTTGCATTTCTTCTAATTAAATTTCACGTGTCCACACAAAATACGAGTTTATCGGAGATTCAAGTAAGGGATGCTCCGCTAGCCGTTTCAGGGCACTTCGAAACCATTTTGATATTACTGTAGTCTAATTTTTGCAATTATCTTCCTCACTTAGCCCTCTCGCTCTCACTCTCTCCTTCTCTCTCTCTCTCTCTCTCTCTCTCTCTCTCTCTCTCTCTCTAGCTCTCTTTCTTATTTTATGGCCACCCGATTTGTAGTTTTTGTGCTATCTCTACCCTAGCAATGGTCGGCACCAGTTGTCAGTTTGACCCCAGTGCATTGGGTGCAGCCTGACCCAGCCTGAGGCAATGTGGGTGGCGCCATATTATGCGTAATTTTATACGACTGTCTTTCTTGGGTTATGTATGCTAATCTCTTTGCCAGATGATACCGTAACTTTCTATCTCTCTCTCTCTCTCTCTCTCTCTCTCTCTCTCTCTCGCTCGCTCTCATTCATTTCGCTCCCACGTTTTGTTCTCCGATGTTGTTTTTTTTTGGTGTCGCCAATGCGAACGTAAGATACCTTACTCTGTCGTACGGTACTGTGGCGTACTCCGCAGTACTGTAACGTTTTGGATACGGTCGATGCGGCAAATTCGGCCGATTTGAGTACTGTAACGGTTTTCCTAGGCAAAACTACGCCAAACCCGTTAAAAAGAATAAAAAAAGTTTAATGATAGTATTTAATGATTTAAAATCAGTAAATCACGAGCCCTAAGATACTGTAACTTTAATTTTGTCATTTTTTTTTGAAAATACCCAAATCGCTCCAATGCTCTAAAACGCCCCAGGCGATTTAGGGTACTCCCCTCGTGCGCCTCCCGTGTTTTGGTGAGTGCACCCTGACCTGTTGTGGCGAGAGAGAGAGAGAGAGAGAGAGAGAGAGAGAGAGAGAGAGAGAGAGAGAGAGAGAGCAAGGGTGTGATCTATGCCGGCTCGGGGAATCCCCAATCTTTACCTAGACACTCCTCTTTGCATAATCAATGCCCACAATGCCCGGAGGCCTCCAGTGCACCAGACTGTATCTCCCATGGGGGCCAATACACACGAGAAATCACTCTACTCTCGCTTATAAAGGTCATCTCGGACGGCCATCGGATGGACGGGTGCACCTAGCGTTGTGCAAAGATCTTAGAACTGGCCTAAAAATGGCTTGCTAAATGCTATCAAAGACACTTGACAAGGTTTAAACTTACAGGCATTTGCACTATTCGGCTTCTGGTAGATTCTTTTACGTAAACTTGGTCCTGTTGAAAACTGGGACTTCACTGAAAAACAATTCCTTGGTCGTCTTAAGCGTTGCTTTAGACTTTGGCAGCGGGGGGGGGGTCCAGGCATAGGAACAGGGTTAGGGTGTTTTTTTGCTGAAGGCCGAGATCGCGTCTTGGGTTCAGGCGTAGGCTTATGCTTAGGCTTAGGCCTAGGCCCAGGCTTAGGTATCGGCTCAGCGTTGAGCTTCGGCTCGGAAGCTTCAATTTGGAAGTTAGCTTGAAGATTATCAGGCCCGGGGACAATAGCGTTGGTCTTACACTTAGGAGCCTAACTTCAAACTTCCCAGATACGGACTGGATCCGTTCGGACGAACCACATTCCCTCAAAAAATGTACTTTCCGGGTCGGAGACGGCGCTTTGTATTCATTAGTTCCCTTTGATTCCCAGGTTTCCCCTTTCTTCATAGTTCTTCTGTGTTTTTCCAGGGTTGAGAAACCCAAAAAAGCAATGAAAGAAAGAAGAAATCGTGCCCTTTTCCCGTTTGCCCCTATCTTTTTTTCCGGAGCCGGCCACAAAACACGCCTAAATGTTCGGGCTTTTTGTGCGATTTCTGTAGTTTTGAAACATCACACTTCCCCATCGGGCGCCTATCAATTTTGGTATCAATTTTGAGAGGGGGATGTTTTGAAATTGGAGCCGTTCCAAAGGGTCGCGTTGATCCCTGGCCTTCCCTAAATATATCTAAACACTTTCCAAACATCCAAATCGAGTGACAATCGACCAGCTGGTCAGTGTCCATCTGATTTTTCGAAATGCGGAAGGCAAAAAGTGCACCTCTCGCCCGCACAGCTGTCAGCTGGGTCACTTTCGGAAATCGTGCAACTTTTGGGGATGGTGAAAATCTTTCAAGTGGTCGGCGATTATAAAGTTACTGGCAAATCACAAAATTCAAACTGGTCGGTAGGTTTTTCGTTGCGAAAACGTGAATTTAAAAATACCAAAAATCAGCATTTCTTCAAGGAAAACATCAGTTGAAAACTGGAAGCAGCCAAATATTATAAAAGAATGACTTATCAAATTTTGTGTCATGTTATGCTAATAGTCAGCATAGTTGACGTGATTAGTGGCTGCTCGGAATCAAAATTTCCGGTTCCGTCCTTTCAACTACTCCCCAAAAAACGGGCCGTTGCCCCAGCTGAAGCGTTCCCCTTTTCCCTCTATTTCCACCTCTTCCCAATTCAACAGTCGGCGGCTAGTGAAAGCACTTGTCGAGACCACGCACACCCCCCGGTTGCACTTTTCATCGATTTGCTAGAGAGGTGCGGGTCAGTCACAGCCCGAGCAGGAGGGGCAGACCGGTCAGAAATGTTGCTTTTCTTTTCCAGTTGGTTCTGGGTCCTCCTACCCTAGATTTGACCCCCGAACTCTACCTCACGCGGAGATCACACACCCTTGGTACTCGCGTCACTTTTTGAGCACGACCTTGGTTTCAGGCCAACGTCGCGATCTCCCCCTTTCCTAGGCTTTTATGAATATTGAGAGCTTGATTTTTCACTAAAAGTTGTTTTAATGGTGCCCGCACAGTCAATCTTAAAGATCTATGTAGCACCAATTCAATAGCGAGCAGGAGCTGAGGCTCATCAGCTTGAGTTTTTCCACATACATTTAGAAGTTTTGATCCTATAAATCGAAATTGTTTCGAATTTTTTTAAGCGAATTTTTAAAAATTTAGCCAATTTTTTCGAATTCTTTTCGATGCTCTGTTTTCGGTCTAATTGCGTTTTTTTTTAAACGATCTATTTTGACATTAGAATTTTTCTTAAAATTTTTTTCTCCGCATTATTCGGCATTTTGATGGACTCTATTCGTCGCTTTTAAGCTAGCAATTTTTGTGAAACGCCGACGTTTCGGCATTCAAATCAGATTTTCTGAAGTTTCGGTTTTTCTTTCGTTGGCGTTTTTGTCGGTTATTTTGGTGGTCTGTCGGCATTCCTTCACGTTTCTGTCGGCATTCCCCCTTTACTCAGTACACCCCGCAGACAAGTGTCTAGCGGGGCGACGTGGGAAATGGTGGGAAGGAATGGCCAAAGGAGTGAGTGAGGGGGCGGAGCCGCAAGTGTCTGCTCGCACCGTATTTTATCGATTCCCAAGGGGGGGGGGGGCTCCGCAAATTTCACTTCCTCACTGGGGGGCAAGTTTGGACTAGGTTTCTTCTTGACACACCCTATTTTTTAAACTTCTCCAATATCGGAAGGCTGACCAAAAAAAAAACCGAGCACGAGCTTTGAAGTGCACGCTTTTTGAGCGGCAAACTTAAAATCTTCGGGTTTTTGGTATTTTTGCGCTTTTTTGCTGTTTCTAAAATAGCATCTAGCTCTATATCCCTTTCTCTTTCTCACTCTCTCACCCTCTCTCTCGCTTTCTCTCTCCCTTCCCCCTCTCACACTTTCCCCTCTCGCTAGCTTTCCTCACTCTCACTCGCTCTCTCTTGCTCTCACATTCTCTCTCGCTCTCTCACACTTTCTTTCTCGCTGGCTCGATTTATCTCTCTCGTCCTCGCTCTGTCTGTCTCTCTCTGGCGATCCCTCTATTTAAAAATGCTAATCATCATTTCTTCAGGGGCCAGGACGGCCGGATACAGGTCTCCACCCGGAAATTCCAGCCTCATGTGAGTTTTGCGCTATTTTGCTGCTTATAATTGTATAAAAACAAAGTCAATTAATATATGCAAATCTCCCCCGTTTCAGCTTTGCTACCCGCGGCTGTTCCGCTTCAAGGGGCTCAGCTCGTGCCGAGAACTTCGCCCCGTATCCCACTGCACCAGCCCGTTCACAGCCAAGTGGTCGGAATTCGTAAGTCATGTTGTTTGGTGTTTTAACGGAAGGTAAAAAGCCATTTTTTACATACTTAGGCTCAAAAAAGTGCATGAAATCATGGTAACTTTGTTACCAGAAGTCAAATAATCCGAAAAAGATAGCTTCATCGAAATGGTATATTGTCGAAAAGCTGCTTCGTCAAAATTTTATTTAGTCAAAATTTAAAATCCTTCCAAATTCGAATTTTTTGGAAATTCCGATATTTCTAGGATCAGGGCTGTGAATTTGGGCCTAGGCCAGCAGCACTTCGAGATTGATTTTTTCGAAAACGATTTTAACGAATTTTCGTTGCGTCGGCATTTCAGTTTTCGAAATGCCATCTTGTCGGCATTTGTTCACCTCAGATATGTAGAAAAATGAAATTTAGCGTATGGCAAGCTTGATCGAATTAAATTTCGACAGGATGAGAGTTAGAAAAAATAAAAGAAATTTTTCACTTTCTCAAACGGTATGAGCAGGGAGGGCTCGCAGAGATTCTTTGAGGAATTGGAGCTCGAGCTATCAGTCTTTGAGAAATCCGTTTTGAGAATCCAAATCCGCACTATATTTTTACCTTTCGCAGGTCTGCATCAACCCCTGGCACGTCGAGTTGCTGCCCAGCAATTCAGCCAGGAACTCCCCGATTGCCGGCGGCTCGCCAGCCCTCTACCACGAGCTTCTAGGTTGGTTATGCTAATTTTTGGGAGATTAGACCTTTATTAAATCAAAAATAAATGTTATAAGGTATTAAAATTTGACTTACTTTTGAATAATCGTACTCAAGCGAAAAAGGGGAAAATAGGTTGGCTGGTTTCTTCATCTATCTTTTTAAATCTTTAAAAATGTTATTGATGTCGGATAATTTACGTGTAAAATTTTTGAGCAATTTAGCGAATAAAAAAACTTTGGGCATTTTCTTTAACTTTGGAAATTATTTGTGATTATAAAACAAGTTATTAACGTTAAATTCGATATCGTAAGGTTAGATTCGTTGTAACAGTGCTTGTTTTTTGTAAGGTTTATTCCGACCTTTTGCCGACTTGTTTCTATGAATTTTGGCCTTATGTTACACATGTTTATGAAACATTTTTAAAGCAAACAACTCGCCTCATAAAATGCGCTCAAAGCGAAACCCATAATATAATGGAGAACCCGCGCCCGAAATCCGTATTTTGGACCCAAATATAGCGCAAGGCCCCGCACCCAATATTTCAATTTTCACGAAGAGGTGAATAACACGTGAAAAACAAGCCCACCCCCAGGGGGAGACTGTAGTTTTTGGGGTACCCATGCACTTTGTCACATTCTGATGATTCGCTGATTCGGGTTATGAACTCTAGAATTTGATAGAAATCTTGGATTTTTCTCTCTCTCCCGCTCTCTCTTTCTATCTATCTCTCTCTCCCTCCCTCTCTCTCTCTCTCTCTCTCTCTCTCTCTTTCTGGCTCTCATGTTTCGCTGTCACTTACTCGCTCTCCCTCTCACGCCCTTCCTAGGTACCTACAGTAAACCCCAAAGTTTATGTAAATCCATGTTTTAATTATTTTCAGAAATCTCGGATAATCCCGGATAAGCGTACTGTAGACGGGTCGTCATTCTCACAACCGGGGCTGGTTTTCACCGTACATTCTGAGGGCGGCGTGTTTTGCACGCAACAATTTTACCGTAGCCCTGGATCCTCGCAAGATACCTTAAAGGAGCCTTCCATTAATTGCTTTTGAACACTTTTTTCTGCGCAGCTCTAATTCTCTGATTTTTCTCTCTCTCTCTCTTTCTCACTGTCTCTCTCACTCTCTCGCTCTCGCTCTCCACCTATCTCCTTGCCTTGTCCGGCCGTTTAATTCGAACTTTAAAAGGAGCATGACAGGAAAGTCAAAGCTTTAGAATCCGCTTTCAACACTTCCCAGCCCCCCGAATATTCCGCAAAATGGAATCCCGCGTTGTTTACTGATCCCTCCAGAGCCTCGGCCACCCCCTGCAAGCCCCAGCTATAAATAGCAGGCCAAAAAAAAACGCGAGCAGAAAAAGAAGGCGAAAATTTTGTTGGGTGGCATTGCAGGGAGGGGGGGTTGTTGTCCTCAACCGGGGCAGCAGGGCCCAACCCCTCGTGCCGTTCTCCCCTACCCAGCTAGCTGCTATCTGGTTGTTTTCCACTTTCCGCCACAACCCTGGCCGCAGCAGCGGTCCTCAACCGCTTTCGGCACCTTTTGCTGCTGGTTGTTGCTTTTCTTCTTCTTCTTCTCTCTCTCTCTCTCTCTCTCTCTCTCTCTCTCCTACCAGAGAATTTGCTTACCTCTAGGCTCACAGGATTTTGCAATTTGCGGTAGTTTAAGGGGGCCGGGAAAGCAAAAATGCTTCGTTTAATTAATTTCTGAACTACACTCCTTGAAGTCGTTCATTTTTTACTTTTTCCGTACACTTCCGTGTCCTTCTCGCTCCTCGTTCCCTGATCCTCGGTGTTTGCTAAAGCGGTTTTCGCGCGCTGGCTACTCCAACGTCTGCGAGCTGTTCGGGCTGTTTCGCTTTTTCTACTCTCTTGCTCTCGCTCTCTCATTCAATCTCTGGCTTTCAACAACTTGTTGATGTTGCCGCTGTTTATCAATCGCCGTTGCTGGCACACTCCCTTTAACGTCAATAAACGAGCCGTTCTGCAAATTGTTTATCCACGGCCGGCAGGCAAAGATTTCACAAGCCTTGTTCTCTCTCCCCCCCCACCTGCCCCCAAGTCCCCGTCCATCATTTCCCCCATTTTTTCGAACCCGTAACCCTCCCGGAAGTACCCTAGTGGCACCCCGAAAAAAGTAAGAGGGCAGCGGATATCACGTTGTCATGTTTTTCTCGTGGCCCCCGGGAAGGGGGTTTTCCTCGGAAAAGGGCCCGCGGGGCTTTTCCCGTCTCTCTCTCTCTCTCTCTCTCTCTCTCGCTCCCCCTCGCTCTCCTCCCCGAGTTGCCATCCCTAAATTGTGAAATAGAATAGGAAACTGAGAGAACATAGAGAAAGGCCGTTTTTCCCTCTCCCTACCCCCCGGCCCGCCCCCTGAACGCAACCACCCCGAAACCACTTCCTCGCCCCCTTCGCTGCGTCTTTTCTCTGTGCTTATGTATGCTAGCCTCATTTTATGCCAGGGAGGTTGAGGATGTTGCTACTTTGATCGGGAGCTCGTGCTCTTTCTCTTTCTCGCAGAAATTGAATCTCGCTTTTAGGTGTTTCGATTCCTTAAACGGTCATGCTCATCTTGTCGAGGCATTAGGCGATCTTCTAGGCTGCTGTTTATAGCTTTCTCTTGCTATCTCTCGTCTATCCTCCTCTCTCTCGCTCTCTCTCTCGCTCTTTCTCTCTCTCTATCCCTCTCTCTCTCTCTCTCTCTCTCTCTCTCTCTCTCTTCAAAAACCTCGCTTCAGAATTCCACTTCTGGTTTTTACTCGTCGTTGTCCCGTCGGCCTCACACCGTCATTAGCGAGTCGACCTTCCTTTGGTCTGCTCTCGATTTCTCGTTCTCGCTCTCTCGCTCTCTCTCTCACTCTCGCTCTCGTTGTTCCGTTCGCTCAGAAGACACAAAGCCGAACACATTTCATCAAAGCCTTCTCTTTTTGCGACGTCACCGAGCTGTCATAGTCAGTCATTTTAACCTGATTTTTTTCGAATGACCAATAGCTACAAATGTGTTTTGAATACCGGGACGTCGAGGTATTGTCTAAGTTATGAATTTGCACCTTAACCTGAAATTTTTCAGTTTTGGTTGAGAGTTTATTTGCAGCCACGGTTTTAAGGAGCTCTAATTATAACTTGAGATGTCATTTCGGATTCTAATCGTTTATTTCATCGTCATTTATACACTACTTCCGAATTCCTCGTCACAACCGGGAGCTAGGCATGGGCTTCTGCCCCTCGGCTCGGGCGCCCCCTAACGATTTTCGGAGGTCCAACGCCGGCATAAAAAAGGCCCGTTCGCCCGGGCCTGCCCCCCGTTCGCTTCCGCGTTTCATCGTTCCATTCCTTTCCCCTTCACGCTTTTTATTTTTTTGAACGCATTCAAAATTGCAACAAAGGCGAATTTTCGGCGCATTTTGTCCTGTTTTTGGCCCTCTTCCACACCTCGCTGCCCAGGCCGATCATGCGCGATTTAAATTAGATAAAAATACTCGGTTTTTGAAAGTAAAATCGACTACACAACCACAGAAAATTGTCTATAAAATTTTTTGGCTTTATCACCTCCATGAATCTCCCTCAAAAGCACCGAATGTTGATTTGCCGGCCCCTATCTGACCACCAGATCTTGTGGGAACGCTAAGCCGTGTCAAAAATTCAAATAAATTGGCCGGGAAATGCCCCGAAACTTGTGTCGAATCTCACGTTTCAGACGCTCAGAAATACCCACGCTTTGCTGACGTCGCGGCCTTTAGGAAAATCCGACATTTTTATTGAAATTTCCTTTTCTCTCTCTCTCGCTCTCTCTCTGGCGTTTCACGTGGTGATAAAGCACCCGGAGGCATTTCGAAAAATTTCAATTCTCATTCCAGCTGCTCGCCGCGTTTCGGCATAAAATGCGTCATTTCATTTCCGCTTCTTCCCTTTTCACCAAGCCAAAGCAAAAGCAATTGCATACGGCAATTTCAGCCCCCTTTCGCACATCAATAATTCAGAAGCGGAAGGGAGTGTTTCAAAATACGTTCTTTTTGTTTCTCTCTCTTTCTTTCTCTCTCTCACTCTCTCTCTCTCTCTCTCTCTCTCTCTTTCTCTCGTCTTTCATTTATCTCTCTTTATGTTTTTTCTAAGGCTGTCCTTTGCTTCTAGTCTCCGCACGCAAAATAGTTTGTAAGGTGGCAGGCAACCTAGCAAAGACTCTTGAGGAGAAGAAATTAAATACATTATTTTTAAACTTCATGGCCCTTTCAGCATAAGCCTACAATTCCGTTAATTTCCTCTTTACTGCCAAGTCCAAAAATCAACTTTCCTCTCCCCCGTCAAATCGACCAACTGGAGAACCCCCCCGTTTTTTCAGGACGCACACTCACTCCTCTCGGTTTTGATTCCAGTTCCTTTTCCACGTTGTGTGTGTTTCTCTGACCGCTCCGCTCTCTCTCCCTCTCTCCCGCTCTCTCACTCTCTCTCGCCTTTTCTCCCCCTCGATTATCCTCCAGTACCGGCCGAGAGCACCGCGTGCTGCGCCATTCGATCCATTCGTGCTCTCTTTCTTTCGATGTATGTGCCAGGCGGTCGGTTTGTGTATGTATGTTCCGGCCTGTGTATACGTTCGCCGTTTTGTGTGTTTCATACGATTCCGTTCCGCGTTTTGATGGCAGAATATTGATTGATGTCCGGTATCCAATACTTTACGTCTCAAAAGGAGCTCATCCTCGGTCGTAAACCTGTTTTTTTGCAGCCTGAGCTCAACCCCAAGCCTAAGCCTAAACCTACCGTAGCCTAAGCTGAACCTAAGCCTGAGCCTAAGTCGAAACCGAAGCTTAAACCTAAGACTAAGCCTAAACGTAAGCCTAAACCTGAGCAAGAGCATACGCTTAAACTTAAGCCTAAGCCTAAGCCTAAGCCCAAGCCTATGCTCAAGCCTAAACCTAAGCCGCACCTAAACCTAAGCTTAACCGGATTGATTTTCCTTTTTTCTGAGTTTTTCCACATTTTCATTCACCCCGTTCTCACCCTCACGTGACCAATGTTCTCCTCCCGCTTTTCAG